ATGCACAGGAAAAGAAACGTCGATTGCAGACTGTAGTCACCGTGGATGGGGTAATGCGTATTGTTACCATGATGAAGACGTTGGAGTGACGTCTATTCAGGGTTAGTCATATCAATATGATATTTTTTTGAAATCTAGTTTTCTGTTTGTTCATCCATGTTATTTAACAACATGTAAAGAAATATTGGGAGATACAGGGATTTATTTAACTATTTCAATGGTTTAGAGTGGAAAAGGCACTTCATTTTCCACAGGTATGTATGTAATATATATTTTATAAAGGTCTTTCATGTGCTGCACAATTCTGCACAATGAGATGTATTTTTGAATCTCCATTCCAATATGAAACCTAAATGGAAAAAGAACACCCCTGTGATCATCAAATTCAAATAAAGCAATAAGCAATGCTGAAAACCTGCAAAGTAAATACCTAAGCGAGAATAAGATCGATCAGTAGTACTTATGAATTTATATATTTCAATTTTACCAATATTAGAGCCCGACGCCTGATGTAGCTGTTCGTCTAGTGGATGGCAAGACTCCTAACGGGCGACGTGTAGAAGTTAATACTTTCTGGCGTAATGTAGACGATAGTCAATGTCGGTAAAGCGTATCGTTCTCCAAGTTAAAGTAAAAAACAACTATACCTGATTTATACCTCTGTTATTATTTATACCCTGTTTTTTTGTTTGTTTTTGTTTTTGTTTAATAGACCGGTTTCTCAAGGTTGCGTGTGCATCCAACTTGACAGGCCACAAAACTGAAAATGCAAATTCAGTAAAATTGAGAAGCCAGTTTTATATTTAAAGAGGAGAATAATCGATTTTATGAATTCTACCTCACTTAAAAATGAAAACAGAAAGATTCTTAAGCTAGCACGTTTCTGTTTGTTACAGAAGCAAAGTCCAAGGTATCTGTTCGTCTATTGGACGGTAAGACTCCTAACGAGGGACGTTTAGAAGTTAGATACAAAGGTACTTGGGGTACCATATGCAATGCTGAATGGGACATATTTGCTGCTTACGTGGTGTGTCACATGTTGAATTACTCCAAGGCAGTAATAGCAAAGACTGCTAGCGTCAAAGGAACTGGTCCTATATGGCTTAAATTAAGAGGTTATGGTTGCTATGGACACGAAGAATCTATTGATCAGTGTCCTCATGGTGGCTGGGGTAACACTGGTGGATGTGATCACAGCCGTGATGCTGGAGTGGTATGTGGCAATCTAACACCAGGTACAGCTAGATAACCTACAGAACAAGATAATATTCATATGATCTTTGTTTATCTTTTCAATCATGTCAAGTCACAAGGTTATACGATCATCAAATGTATCGTAAAGTCTCGCAATATATTTTTTTTGTGACATCTTATCAAATGTCACTCGTTACTTTTTCTGACCACGTTGATTAGAATAGCTATCTCTATATATTGTGTATCTTTACTCTCTGGACATTAAATCAAGCAATGTATAAGGGACGTGATTAGAATATTGTTTGTTTATTGAAAGCTATTTGTTTCAGAGGAGAAAGCGATCGAAGTTCGTCTGGTGGGAGATCAAAACCATACTGGCAAAGTAGAAATACTGTATCAAGGGACCTGGGGAGTAGTGTGTTATTATTTGTGGGATACACGAGATGCTCACGTGATCTGCAAAATGCTTGGTTACAAAGCAGCTAAACACGCAATTCGGTTTATTGAAGGAGAGACACCAAGAAGAACTCTCATGGGTCTTGTGGGATGCAGTGGTAGAGAAAAGTCGATATCAGAGTGTGCTCACCGTGGATGGTGGAAGGTTTCTTCATGGTGCTCGAATAAACGTCTTGCTGGGGTGGTTTGTCAGGCAAATGAAGGTAAGAAAGACAAATCCGTACTTTACTCTAATCATTTAATTATCATCACATCAAGGCCAATCATCTAAATAGTTCATTTGTTGTTCAGATAAGAGCTTTAGTAAAGCTCTACTGATTCTTTTTCAAACATTTGTCCACGTGTCAGTTGTACTTTTACCTAAATGATGTTGGTACA